TAATTTAAAATCTTTCAAAGTCTATGACCAGGGTGAATAACTATCCTAATTTTATGCCAAGAATTTATTGTTTTAAGACAGTTTACAATAATTTAGTAAAGTTCATTATGTATAGGAAAAATGCAGGGCTTATATTCTAAGGACATATTAGTTTCAGTGTGAAAAGTAAAGAAAGAAAACATGCCAACATTCTGTGAAGATTAAGCAACAATAACAGCAATACAGGAAAGAGCCAGAGACCAGAGGCCAAAAAATCAGAATAAAAACCATTCTGATCATTCCCTGAAAAACTGACTCCCTATTAACGTATGAGAGGAATATGTGCTGACCCATGCAATGGAAATACGAGAGAAAATAGTTCAAATATTACACGAAAAAAAACATTTCTGCACTCTCAGAACTAATAATGGCCAAAAGATATGAAGATAAACAGGAAATAGGCCAGGGTATCAAATGATTTTGCTCCATTGATCTGGAAGTGGTGTTTTCCTATGGATGATCATCTGTTTCTACAATCTTTCCAAAATAAAAGTATCCTTTTTGAGACTTGGGTTACACACAGATGTTATTTTTTTGTTTGCTCTGTTATTAAGCACAATCAAGTGTCAATAAAGCCTCTGTTAAAAAGAAGAAAAACGGGAAAAAAAAAACCCAAAAACCTCTAGATATAAGCTTATTCATTTATTAGATTAAAAAGTACTCTATTCAGTACTACCTAGCCAGAAACATCTCTGAAGCCTAAATCTGAGAGTGTGGTTACCACATCAGCAATCATTGGTAGAGAAGTAGGTGGCCCCTTAAACTCTGGTTTGAAAAGAAACTCCTGAGACAAAGTCTGGAACATCCTTCCGAGGTGCCACTGCCCCACAAGAACCTTATCTACCCTTAGCTCCAGACTATTTTCTTTTAAAGGCAGTCTCGAATTTAGATTTGTTTTAACCTGATTTCATCTGTGTAAAAACTGAGGCCAGGAAGACAAGCTTGAAATAGGGCTCGCTAATCTGGCCTCTGACCCATATACTCTAGCAGGAATCAAGTACCAAACCTCTGACTCCCTTTTAGAAGAGCTTAAACCCACCAGTTAAACTCAAGCTCAGAAGCAGAGTGACAACTTAGGTTGAGAGTGTAAGAGTCACAGGGTATTGAGGCTGAAAAGGAAAGGATCTAATCCAACTGTCTCATTTTAAAGATAAGTTAAAAAAAAAAAAGAAAGAAAGAAAGAAAAAAAAGAAAAGATAAGGGAGTCCCACAAAAAGTTTACCAAGAGTCCAAAGTAAAAAAATCAGCTAAATGGCCATCATCTGTTTACGTCAAAAAGTGCATCTTAGTACATCTTAAAGATATATTCTTCACCTACAGAAGTTATTTTTAAGGGCAGACACAACATTCACTCCAAGTTTAATTGTAAAAATTCATCCTGTAATGTAGGAATGGACTAAATTAGTGAAGTAAAGGTATGGTTGACATTCAAAAACATAGCTATTTTTAAGGGGATCCATATTCCAAGCTTCAAAACTGTTAACCAAATGCACTAGATAATTAAGTTACTTTTACTTATTTAATATCTAAACACTTTCTAATTACTGAGTGCTTACTACGCATCAAGCACTATATAAAATGCTTTCCAGGTATTATGTCATTTACAAGAACTGAAGGTTTAAAATCTATAGCTTAAACAATGATAGTTACATACTTTAAAAATTAAAGAAATCCTATTAAAAACATGATTTAGAAAACTTAAGACAAAATTCTGCAAAAAGACAAATTCCCACACCCTTGCCCTTAAAATACAAAGAGCTTTCTTACTTCTATAAATAAGACCATCTTCACTATCTCTGAGTTATAAAGTCAGAGATAACATTTTGGGGTTCAGGAAATCCAGACAGCATTTTTCTCCCTCACACACTCACAATTTTTATAAATTCAAGAATAGGTTAAGTATAAATACTGGTAAAAATTTTATCAGTAACAGAAAACATCTTGCTATCTTGCAAAATACTTCAACCTCTCATTTTCAACTATTCCAAGAATGCTGCTATACACTGTATTACAAAGTCCCTCTCTGCATTTTTCCCCATAAGATTATGGCAAACTTGTTATAAAATATACCTCTAGGTAAAGTAAAACTGTGAAGAGGAAAAGAAGGTATCAGAGTAGAAGATAAAGGTTATAGCATTATCCTGTTGATGCTTATAATTTTTCCTTAGAGCTAGATAAGCTGCTGTAAGCTAGTAAAACTATCCAACAATGGGAAAAGAGTTATACTTCTGTATCATTTCACATTGGGAAATTTGTACTACAAATCTGTACCGCCTTACACAGATAAGTTAGGTCCATGACATTTAATACCATTCATGTCTCCTTTCAAGGCATAATAGAAACTCAGATTTTTTACTGTTTCTTAAAATCTGAAGAGGCAAATTGAATGGGCTAAATTCACACATACTTTTCAGTTCTTTAGTACCTTATCAAAAGAGATTTTTAAATGTTTATTTTTGGAAGCATGTTTACTACATGGAAACTCTTGTTAAGAACAGCTTGATGAATTTAGTTTAAAATACTTTTTCTCCCAAGTAGTTAATTTTGGGGAAATATAAAAAAAAATCTAGTTTCTCACCAACTGTCCAAAAATTCAATAAGTAGCTCCCTCTCCTGGAAAAAAAAAGGGGGGGGGGGGGGGGGGGGAGTTCCTCTTTAAGCTGTAAAACACACAGTTGTACTTTTAAAAATATTTTTAAAAAACACATGAATCCAAAAATATATATAAATAGAGTCAAAAAAATAAACATTCTAATGATTGACCAGTACTAAAGGCCTCAAGTCTGTACTTCACACAGCATGTAACTAGCTATAAAACTAAATTAACATTTCAATTTACAAACAGCCATGTATTTCCTCATATGCTAAAAACAAACTCTTATCCTATAATCCACCTAGCCACATGGTCAAGTGGCTGTCAGTAAGTTTAAATTACAAAAACATAACTGATCTTTTTATTTTTTTTTTCAAGTCATCTATCACTAAAAATGAAAAGAGAAGAAAAAGTTTAAGGGAAGAGTTAATCAGAAAACCTATCTGACAATCTCAACTGTAAAGTAAACTGAAAATGGCAAGACAACTTCAAGCTTCAAAAACATGTGTTTCCTAAATAAAGCATTTATCTCAGTGCAAATCAAATGTCAATATTTCTCATATTAAAATGACATACGTTTATAGAGCTGCATGTACAACATTCTTAAAGTGTTAGTTCTAACATTAGCAGAATCATGATAAAAACCTTTTAATATGCAGCTATTACTATAGGTGCAGAAAATGTGTATTATTAAGGTATTATCTTTACTAAATTTTTGGATCCCAGAGAATTTGACAGACTACTCAGCAAACTATATTGTTAGAACTGTCTCCAGAGACCAAACTTGCTAACATAAACATCTATTTCTCAAAGAGAAAACGCAGCTTAAATGGAAAAAAAAAAAGTTTAAAATCAAAATATATGCATTAAATATGGACTTAGACTTTATAGAGGCTGACTAATTTTGTAACTACCAAATAAAGTAATTTCTTCAAGAGACGTTTAACCAGTTTTATATCCTATTCACTGATAAGAGAACAACATTTAATATACAATCTGTACCTTAAATGGCCCATTACATATACCCTAAGTCTCCTTAAAATTTACTACAGTTTTGTTTGAGGCAAAATACTTATTTAGTGTTAAAATTATTTGGCTACACGAATCAAACGATGCTGGTTTCTTCTGGCTAAGTTGGGCAGCGAAGAACTTGAGAAAAGCAAGCCATATAAATGAATACTGGACATTCCTATACATGCACTTTAGATTTAAAAAAAATGCAACCCAGTACAAACCTCCCATCCACTGGTGACATTCTTTGCAGCGCAGACAGGGAGTGAAGTATATCAACATTACTTGGGATTAGTTTTATGTCATGTTCCCCCTGCCCCCCCCCCCCCCTTGTATTTGAAATACAGCACAACTGGTATGGTGAATGAGCAAGGTAACTTTCCCTGTGGTTATCAGGAGAGATCACACCCCTACAGTTGCAACCACTGTCCAAGGACGCCGCACTAAAGGCGAATGGGAATGTGTATAAACTCAATAACTTTCCAAGGTAAGCACAGTTTTGAGGGATTCTGTTTTCTTTTTTGGCCGTCACCGCCAGTAAAAAGATCACAGCCTATACCCTAAGTCACGAGAGAGCCAATACGTCAATTAGGAGAGAAGTGACTCTTCTTTCCATGTTTCTTGCCCTGGCCTAACACTTCATCTCCTCCCTGCAGCCAAATTACCAAACGAACAGAAAAGGTCACAGGATCAGCATGAAAATGTCCGTCCTGACACCCTCGCAGCCTCAACTCCAACGTGCCTTATTTTTCCTCTTCCTAATCCCACCCAAACCACACGACTCAAGGATGAACCCCACTCCGACCATGGTCCCTATTTTCCAACCTCATCCTCCCAGTCTGGCTGTCCGGATGATGTGCCAGGTGAATGAGCTAAGGAATTAAAAAAAAAACAAAGACAGACTTCGGGGCCGAAGTTAGAGCAGCCGGCGCGGGGTACTGAAGAGGAGAGCAAGAAACACTTGAGAAGAGAACTAAGAAAAAGGTCCAATGGCTCGTGAGCAGACTGCGCCGCGGAAGCGCAAGCCCCGGCAGATCAAAGCAGAAAGGCAGGGAGGGAGGAGAGCCCCAGGAAACTCGCCGAAGAGACCTTTCGGGAGCGAGCGAGAGGAGCACTCCCTCTGGCGTTGAAGGATCCGCGGTCTGATCGGAGATGCTCCCGCGTCCAGCTGACCAGAGCCGACTCACCCTTAGGCGGCTAGCCCTTCGCGACTCCGCACTTCGCCCGGGGTCCCCCTGCGCCGCCGCCGCGCCGGTTCCAGACAGGGCGACCGGCGCGGGCGGGGCCGCTTCTCCCGACTCCCTTTCCCCGGGCGGCCCTCCCGGCAGGACGCTCCCAACCGGAACCCCGCGCCTACCTGTAGCACCAGCGGCTCGGGGTTGAAGGCCAGGGTCAGCAGCAGCTGCATGCGCTCCGAGTCCTTAAGGTTGCGGAGCAGGAAGCTGCCGGAGTCCTTCGTCTCGGCATAGCGGCGCACCAGGCGGTCGAGCAGGCGCTGCGAGGGGCAGTGCACCAGGTCGGACCAGCCCTCCACCGCCTCCGGCGTGAGCAGCCGCACGTCGCCGTTAAGGCGCGCGAACTCGGTGCGGGGCATGGCCTGGAGCAGGTCGCAGCGGGGCCGGCCGGTGGCCCGCTTGCAGATACTCTGGTCGAGCTGCGCCAGCTCGCGCTGCGAGCCGAGGCGCTTGAGCACCACTCGGCGGCGGCCGCCCTCGCGGGGCTCGCCGTACTGCGCGAAGTAGACGTTCTTCACGTTGAGGAAGTCCAGCAGGCGCAGGCGGCCCCACGCCTCGAACACCACCTGCCCGTTGAGGAAGCGGCGGCACCAGCTAGTTCCGAAACACGCCGGGCACTTATTGAGCTGCAGGAAGCGCCGGTCGGCCAGCTCGTTGCGCTGCCAGGAGGCGAGCAGCGACGGCGAATGCAGCACCATCAGCACCAACAGGCTGCCCAGCGCCGCCAGCTTCAGCGAGCGGGACAGGCGGCCCAGCTTCGGGGGCACCAGGCGCCACATCCCGCCCGCCGCCCGTCCGCCAGCACCCGGAGGGCGAGGGCACCCCCGGGGCGCCCCCGCCGCGCCGAAACCCGGAGAGCGACCGGCAGGGGCCCCCGGGAGAGAGAAGGAGCAAAGCGCGGGGGCTGGGGCGGGAAGCGAAGTAGGTCTGTAAGAGAGAGACGGAGAGCGGGAAGCAGCTGACCCGAGCAGGCTGCGACTTCTCCCAGTCACTAGTCTCCACAACTCTCGAGCTCCCTCCTCCGAGCTCCCCGCCCTCCGACTCCGGCGGCGCCTCCTCCAAGCCAGTCAAGTTATACAGCAGCGGGAGGAGGGTGGGAGCGCGGGGACTCGACGGCCGCGCGCCCGCGTCCGCCGTGCGCGCACGCGCACTGCTCGCTGGGGGCGCGAGAGCTGCAGCGGAGGTGGCCGCCTGCGGGACGAGTGGGGTCTCTGAGAAGAGAAAAGGAGAGACTCACGGAAGGGGAAGATAAGCTGGAATGACTCACACCGAAAAGTAGCACAGTGTAGGAAGGTGGGAATGATGAGGTGCCCGCGCGTCCCTGACGCCTCACGCCCCAGTTCGTGCGCGTTGGCTCTCCTGAGGGAGGGCGAGGGGGCAGGGGGGCGGGGCTGGCGGGGCGGAGCTAGCGCGCTGCCGAGACAGCGTCAGCGTGGGCTCCCGGGGGCGGCTTTGGGGTGGCGGGGAGGGTTGCTCCGCGGGGCGGAACTCGAGCTTTTGGAGGCGGGGTAAACTCGCGAGCTCCTGTAGTGAAATTATTTAATACTTTTCGTAACAGTTATTCTTTTCTGATTGTTGCCTTTTACTGGAACCTGTTTTTTTGCCATTGTGGAAACAGTCCCCTTAGGGGGAAAAAAATAAAGGAGCCGCAGAAGCCTATTGCAAGCCCCTGCCCTCCGCACGACGTGCCCGGGGTGGAGGCCGAGTAGGCGGAGCGGTGTGCTCTCCGGGCCTTATACGGAGACGCGCCGTGGGGGCGCGCGCCCGGGGGCGGGGAGAGGCGAGGCCGCGGCGGGAGCTCGCCTCCCCCGGTCCCGCGCGCCGCTCGCTCCGGGGGCGGGCCTGCGAAGAAAACGTGGGAGAAGGTGTTAGTTGTGGAGGGACTGTTTAGGGGCTTCACCTTCGGCATCTGCCACGTCTGTGAAGGCGTCTTAAATTAAAGCTGAGTGGGCACCAGAAAAGAGAAGTCTGGGAGGCATCGTGATAACAAAGGCAAAATAGGATGAAGAGAGAATAGACGCGGCCTGGCGTCGCCGGGAAATCTGCCCTAGCCATTGCGAAGGAGCAGGGGCTAGCTAGTTTGCACCCAGGCAGCTTTCCCAGCCGGTTTCCTTCAACTGAAGGCGTTTTGTTCAACTCCGGGGAGTCTGTCCCAAGGCCTTCCTTGAGGGTCCTTTAGGCGCGGGCAGGCCCTCACTTCCCCACCCTCGGACTCAGGCCTGCCCCAAGAGCCGCGACGCGTTGCTGTGACAATAGCCATGGGGACCCGGGCTGCCTGGTGCTCCACACCTGCATCTTGGCTCAGCTTCACCCCACGACTGCAAAAATAACTCGGAAATCTGTAGCTCCAGCGCCTTATTTTGGTAGAAGTTTAAGGGAACCCAGACTCTACAGTAGCTGAAATATGCAATTATAATGCTTCTCAGTTTTAGCGCTAAATTAATTAAAATAGTTTTTCTCATGGACAAGTGATTCCTCATGCGGTGTTAAAATATCTGGGTTTTAACCGAGTTAATGATAGGGATTGAACAATGATGTTTAGGAGACCCATTCACTGGCATGTAGAAATCAACTCTAGAAGGGCTTAATGAGAAAAGTCTGTACTGGTTTCTGTGTGGTGTTCTCAACATTGTTTACTTGTGAAAAGAAGAGCTATACTCGAGAAGTACTGTTGTAGTCGTGTTTTGACCTTCGTGATATAAGAATTCAAACTTTGGGGGGAAGAAACATACTTGTACAATATATTCAAAATATATTCAGCGTAGAAGTGACTTTTAAATGATGTTACGTTGACTACAGACAAATTGGGCGGTTATAGTTCTTCCAGTTTGTACAAAGTGAAAGTTTGATAGAGCTAAGGATTTTTTGAAGCCTTTGGCAGTAACTTGATTTAACTTACTTTCAGAGCATCCCATAACTTCATAAAATGTAGAATTATGAACAATATCTCCAATGAGGATTTCATTGAGAGTTTGGTGTGATTGGTCTGGAGATGTCAGCTCTGCTGCTATCTCTGCTGATTTGTAAACTGGGCAAGTTATTACTAAACTGCAAAATTCTTATCCCTAACATCCTTTCTTCCTGTCATTTAGATATGTTCAATTAATACTAGATGATTTATGTGGAATTGCTTTAAAACAATAAAATCACTACATTTTTATATTTTTATTTAGAATGAATGATTTCACTGGAATTTTTGCCAGTGATTAAGCTGAGAGAATTGAGGTATAATGCAAGACTATTCCTGGAGGAGGGCATGGAAACCCACGCAGGTATACTTGCGTGGAGAATCCCATGGACAGAAGAGCCTGGTGCAGTGCAGTCCACAGGGTCGGAAAGAGTTAGACATGACTGAAGCGACTGAGCAGGCACCCAAGACTATCTAGGGGATTACTAACAGGATTAAGGAAGTATTGCTTCTATGTATAGAAAAGATCTTTGGAGTTCTTAGACCATACTCAGCCTCCACGTCTTTGAAAATTGTATAGGCATCATTTGTAGAGTAGAAGTAAAAAATTGTTTCTAGGCTGTATATGTTGAATTTTGAAAAATACTTGCTTTGTATTAAATATTTTACATTTGTTTAAAAACACTAAAAAAATAAAAATAAAAACCCTGATATTCTTTTCAGTTACATTTTCTAGACTTTTACAAAGAAAGAAAGTCTTCTAGAACTTAATACATTTCTCAAGGGGGAAGAAAAAAGACTTTTCTTATAGAGCTATATGAGATAAACTCAGCGTGTTCTGAAGTGCCATATTAGGGTTTGGGGAAAAAAACAGTAAATGAAGGTTAATGTAATGGACAGGGAAGCCTGGCATGCTGAAGCCTAAGAGGTCACAAAGAGACACGACTGAGCAACTGAACTGAATGTACATTACCCACCTATCCTGTAAACTAGTGAATGTTTTTGGCTAATGGATGTGAGCTAACATCCAAAGTTCTTCCCCATAAGTTTAAGTAATAAAAAGTAATGTAATTTCCAGTACATTATAAATGTAATTTTACAATAATTCACTCTTTTAAATGTATGCAATGGGTTTAAACATCATAGTATTTTGATACCCATGTTCAGTTCAGTTCAGTCGCTCAGTCTTGTCCAACTCTTTAAAATCCTATGGACAGCAGCACACCAGGCTTCCCTGTCCATCACCAACTCCCGGAGCTTACTCAGACTCATGTCCATCGAGTTGGTGATGCCACCCAGCCATCTCATCCTCTGTTGTCCCCCTTCTCCTGCCTTCAATCTTTCCCAGCATCAGGGTCTTTTCAAATGAGTCAGTTTTTGCATCAGGTGGCCAAAGTGTGGAGTTTCAGCTTTAGCATCAGTCCTTCCGATGAATGTTCAGGACTGATTTCCTTTAGGATGGACTGGTTGGATCTCCTTGCAGTCCAAGGGACTCTCAAGAGTTTTCTCCAACACCACAGTTCAAAAGGATTAATTCTTCAGTGCTCAGTTTTCTTTATAGTCCAACTCTCACATCCATACACAAATACTGAAAAAACCATAGCTTTGACTAGACGGCCCTTTGTTGGCAAAGTAATGTCTCTGCTTTTTAATATACTGTCCAGGATGGTCATAGCTTTTTTTTCAAGGAGCATGCATCTTTTAATTTCATGGCTGCAGTCACTATCTGCAGTAATTTTGTAGCCCAAAAAAATAAAAGACTCTCACTGTTTCTAGTGTTTCCCCATCTATTTGCCATGAGGTGATGAGACCAGATGCCATGATCTTAGTTTTCTGAATGTTGAGCTTTAAGCCCACTTTTTCACTCTCTTTCATTTTCATCAAGAGGCTCTTTAGTTCTTCTTTACTTTCTGCCATAAGGGTGGTGTCATCTGCATATCTGAGGTTATTGATATTTTTTCCAGAAATCTTGATTCCAGCTTGTGCTTCATCCAGCCTGGAATCTTGCATGATGTACTTTGCATATGAATTAAATAAGCATGGTAACAATATACAGCCTTGACGTACTCTTTTCCAATTTGGAGCAAGTCTGTTGTTCCATGTCCAGTTCTAACTGTTGCTTCTTGACCTGCATACAGATTTCTCAAGAGGCAGGTAAGGTGGTCTGGTATTCCCAACTCTTGAAGAATTTTCCACAATTTGTTGTAATCTATACAGTCAAAGGCTTTGGCGTAGTCAATAAAGCAGAAGTAGACATTTTTTCTGGAACTCTCTTGCTTTTTTGATGATGTGGATGGTGGCAATTTGACCTCTGGTTCTTCTGCCTTTTCGAAATCCAACTTGAACATCTGGAAATTCACAGTTCACGTACTATTGAAGCCTGGCTTGGAGAATTTTGAGCATAACACTGCTAGTGTGTGAAATGAGTGCAATTGTGCGGTAGTTTGAACATTCTTTGGCATTGCCCTTCTTTGGGATTAGAATGAAAACTGACCTTTCCCAGTCCTGTGGCCACTGCTGAGTTGTACAAATTTGTTGGGATATTGAGTGCAGCACTGTCACAGTATCATCTTTTGGGATTTGAAACAGCTCAACTGGATTTCCATCACCTCCACAAGCTTTGTTCATAGTAATGCTTCATAAGGCCCACTTGACTTCGTGTTCCAGGACATCTGACTCTAGGTGAGTGATCATACCATTATAGTTATCTGGGTCATGAAGATCTTTTTTGTACAGTTCTTTTGTGTATTCTCGCCCTTTCTTCTTAATATCTTCTGCTTCTGTTAGGTCCATACTATTTCTGTCCTTTATGGTGCCCATCTTTGCATGAAATGTTCCCTTGATATCTCTCATTTTCTTGAAGAGATCTCTAGTCTTTCCATTCTATTGTTTTCTATTGTTTTGAAGAGAAGCTTAAGGCAAAGGAGAAAAGGAAAAATACACCCATTTGGGTGTGGAGTTTCAAAGAATAGCAGGGAGAGATAAGAAAGCCTTCATCAGTGATCAATGTAAAGAAATAGAGGGAAACAATAGAATGGAATACCCATCATATAGTTTTAAGAAATGAACTTGCTTTTAGGTAATTAAAGTTTTACATTATGTCATTATTATATTCCCTATAGTTGTTGTTGTTGTTCAGTCACTAAGTTGTGGCTGACTCTGCGACCTCATGCACTGCAGTATACCAGGTTCCTCTGTCTTCCACTATCTCTTGGAAGTGAAAGTGAAAGTTTCTCTGTCATGTCTGACTTTTAACAACCCCATGGACTATACAGTCCATTGAATTCTCTAGGCCAGAATACTGGAGTGGGTAGCCTTCCCTTCTCCAGGGGATCTTCCCAACCCAAGGATCACACCCAGGTCTCCCACATTGCAGGCAGATTCTTTGCCAGTTGAGCCACAAGGGAAGCCCGCTATCTCGCAGTTTGCTCAAATTTATGTCCATTGAGTACCTAACATTCCAGGTTCCTATACAATATTGTTCTTTACAGCATCGGACTTTAGTTTCAGTGCCACACACATCCACAACTGAGCATTGTTTCTGCTTTGGCCCAACATCTTCAT